CTTTTATCCGCCAGAAGTGGACGACTTGTGCAATAACCCGGTGCTCGACCACGCGGTGCTCTCGCCCGACAATAAGACCGCGTGGCTGTTCCGGGGCAAAGATATCTGGCACCTGCACAACCTGCCCACCAATCCCAAGGCGTCGCCGTCCAAATGCAATGTCACCAAACATTCATCCGATGTGACAAAGATATGGCAAAAGTTTGACACCAAAGGCGACGCCCTATTCCTCCTCGAATCTCCCGGTCAGCTAAGTCTGGCGACCATTTTAAGCACAAGAAGTTTTGTTTTACTGATAATGATTTGATTTTGTGATTTTAGATAAGAATCGACACGATTTAGTACTCCTTCATCGCCACAAATACACAATTTGGGACTTCAATGGCGGCGCCCCTAAGGTCGAGGGCTTCATCAAAGAGCAGCCGATCACCGCTTACGGCAATAATAAGGGCACAAAGAAGCAAATGTTTACCGAAAAGCCGATCGTAGCGCCAGTAGAGGACGACAAACGCGATGAGAAGAGTATTGTCTATCAAGAAGAGCCGTTCAGAAAGTTATGTATGGATCCGACCATCGATTCGGCCGACTCTAGTCTTGACGGCACTGAAATATATCTCTTCAAAGGCGATAATTATTATTTGTTGACAGGTATTCATAATAATCTGTGTTTTTTATTAAAAACATTTTTTAATTATAAGTGTGTTTGCGATAAAAGGTTTGAAAGGGAAAGGCATCGGAAAGTTGACCAAATTTGAACGATCGGACAAATTGTTGCCTAACTTTAAGCCAAAATCAGCCGCTGTTATGACATGCAAAGAGGGCCAAACTCGTGGGTATGCTTACGAATACTTCTCCAAAACAGGTACAAAACAATATCACTATTTTAATTGTCAAATATTTGTGTAAAACATTCACTTCTTTGACTATAATATGGGTAAACAGCGGGAAAGAAGACGACAACAATGTCTAAGAGTTGGGAAATCGATAAGAATGTGGACAAACCGGAAGATGAGTTTATCGAGTATACGGCCGCCGGGTTTACGGCCGCCTTTCACAACCGCAACGTTACCGACCCTCAGATGATTGTCCTCCGCAATGACGATGTGATTATACCATTCATTACATATTTTATACGAAAAAACACGACAAAAAATAAACGTTTCAAACGTTAACAAAAAATTTTGCTGTTTTTATAGACATATAAACTTTCCAAAAGATAATAAGTTGTCAACCGCTGTATAAATGGGCGTTTGCTGCCGTGCTCAAGCACTACGAGAGCGCCGAGAAGTTACCGCCGGGTGTGACCGCCGCTTTCTCGATGCCCGACCAGATGCTGTACTTGTTTCAGGGCAACCATTACTGCTATCGGGAGCTCTTTTACAATAAAAAGCCACTTTTTGTATGAATTAAATTTATTATTCAATTAACAAACAAAAAGAAACATTTATTAATTATTCAATTAATTACACAAAAACACTAGTGTCCGGAATGGCGAGACTCGCGGGATCTGTTCGGGTGTTTCGGTCCCGACGTTAAGCGGGGAAAGACTCCATCGCAGGGCAATAAACACGACAAGAAGGCGTTGGCCGACCTGTGCTCCGATCTGAACATCGGAGACCTCGACAGGTCGTGGCAGAGAGAGGACACGGTATACGTCTGGAGGGGTAAGAAGTTCTGGAAGATCGCCGACTTTCCGCGGGCGCCACGAGTGGTACAGTCGGGCAATACTAATTGAACATCGGAGACCTCGACAGGTCGTGGCAGAGAGAGGACACGGTATACGTCTGGAGGGGTAAGAAGTTCTGGAAGATCGCCGACTTTCCGCGGGCGCCACGAGTGGTACAGTCGGGCAATACTAATACAGAATGGGACGGATTCTCGGACGATCCCGACGCTGTGGCCATCATTCAAGAGGGTAATTATTGCCAATAGTTTTGTGATTTTTACAATGACAAACTATTTAATGGCAGGTAAAATGAGACGCGGATGGATGTTATCCTTTTACGGCGGCTATTGGTCGGGTTGGTATCCGGACCAGAGGCCATGGATCAGCTACAAGGCCTGGTGGGGTCAGCCAACCGGGACCATGAAGTTTGGCGCCACAATGCGTTAGCTATGCTTCTAATAAAATAATTAAATGACTTAACATTTAGTTTAATAACTAATTCATTTCACATAAAAACTTTACTTTTTTGCTTACTTTTAAAGATAACGGCGATATCAAGAATCCAATGGTTCTCGGCTTCGATGGATCGCAAGTAAACAATTAAATAATTACATAATAATTATGAGTTATTTAGTAACCACTGGTTTGGCCGGTGCCGACACACAGGTGCACACATACGCCAGCACTGGCACACTCTTAGACCTGAGAAACACGAAACGAGTGGACGAGACGGAGGAGAATTGGCCAAAAGACGTGACCGCCGCCATGAGAATGGCAGACAATACGGTATATCTATTCCGGGGCGAGAAGTACTGCAAACGAAGTTGGAAATGCAAAGATGGTGATTGTGTCCGTATAAATTAGTTAACCCATGAGGTGGTAGTTTTGTACCAAATTTAACCATCATTTTGTATGATTGAAAAAACAGTGCAAAGAATGGAAAAACGCGATGAATCTGTTCCACTGTCCGGGAACTAAAGAAAGCGAATCCAGAAATTATAAGGACAACAAAAATGGTGACCAAAACGATGGCGAAGAGGAGACCGAATTGCAGAAACCCAAAGCGAAACCAACGGAAGAGCCGCCACCGGAACCAATAACTGAAGAACCAATAAAAAAGCCTAATATAAAGCAGTCAAAGAAGACAACTGATCCGCCAAATGATGACGAAGACTATGTGGTGAAAAAGGATTCAAAGAAATCGCGTAAAAACGGCCCGAGACCTGACCAAATACGGCCGACACCCAGACGTAGACATTAGTAAATAGAAAACTTCACGAATATTTGAATTGTTTTTGTATTTTGTAATAATTTATATAACACTCGACTCTAATATTATGTAAATTTTTAAATAATAATTACATTAAATAACTTTTTATCTCATTAAATATTGGTAATCACTACTAAATTTTAAAATATGTTTTCTAAAATGCAATTAACTGACAATATAATCACAATATGAAGTATACCATTAATATAACTCGTTATAAATAGGTACATGTAAAGATTGATGTAAAGTTACATGTTAAAAATACAAATTATTATTGTTAAATGTTTAATTTAAATATAATATTAATTACTGTATATCAATATTTTAAGTACTTAATAAGAATTATACTTTTAATTTTAGTTGATGTGTAAGTAAGTTACTGGAAGAACCAAATTGTATAATTTTTTGCTAATTTAGATTATTATAATCATACAATTTTATAGAAGGATTGTATGATTATTTAAATCATACAAAAAATATCAAGGTAACTGGTGGATAAAAAGCTTATACAATATTTCATTATAGTGTAATTTGACAGGTGTACAGATAACTACATTAAATTAACCTATGACAATTCCGTTTACTTGGGAAAAGACGTAAGTAACATAAATATGTTTCGCAAATAGTAATGTACCTAGTTTGAACCAGACATTTAGACATTTAAACCAGACTAAATACTGTACATTGTTACTTAATTTAAGATAACATTAACCATGAAAATTATAACATTTGTTTTAATATTTTTTCACGACTATATATAAAGTCGCATTTGTGAAGCAAGCATTTTGTGAATTTAATCTTATAATTGTTGCTTAATATTAAACAATACTAATTATGAGAGTCCTATTATATACGGCGCTTGTATGCGCACAGTTAGCACTGGCCGTATGTAAGGCTTCAAAACCAATGGTAATAATAGACACGGATAGCGGTGTTGACGACGCGTTGGCCATAATGTTGGCCACGTATTGCCACAAACACAATATGATTGATATAATGGCCATCACTTGTCAATTCGGTAATACATATGTCGATAATGTGGTTAAAAATGTCGGCTATACTCTCAATGCCACTAATACTGAAGTAAGCTTGAGTTAACTATGATAAAATTGATATACAATAATAATATTAATTATTACACAATTATAATTGAATAGGGAATCAAAATATACAGGGGTTCTGACGGACCATTGGTTGGCAAATATGTCGCTTCCGATCACTTCGGAACCGATGGTTTGGGAAACTCTACTAAAGACATGCCTCCCATTTCAGTGCATACCGAGAGTGAACACGCGGTCAATGCATTGGTACGACTGGCCAGAGAGCACCCAAAACAGATCACACTGTATGCTTTGGGACCACTCACTAATATAGCCCTCGCATATATGTTGGACAACAACTTCTTTGACAATTTGAAGCAAATTGTTTTTATGGGTGGAGTCCTTGACTTCGACGGCAATGTCGGTCCAGTGACTGAGTTTAATGTTGTTGAAGACGTCGAGGCCTGTCATCGAGTGCTGTCCTCTGCTAAATGTCCTATCATTGGTGTTCCAATGGAAACTGGTCTAAGTAATAGATTAACCTGGGTAAATATAATTTTAATAATAAACAGCATGTACATGTTTTAATTTGCTTTCATGTTCAGGACATTTATGATCAAATAGTAAAATTGGATTCAATAAAATCAAAATTTATGAAACAGATAACAGATATGAACTATAAATTAGTTAAGGCTGGTATGTATTGCTAATTGTAATTATGGTAAAAGTTATCGATTTTGCTGATTATATTAAATACATGTTTTATGAAGAGCCGGGATCTAAAGGACTGGCAATGTATGACATTCTGGCAGTAATGGCGCCCATATATGAAGACTATATTGAATCCAAAGTTGAATACAAGACAAGCATTGAATTGAATGGAGGGCTAACTCGAGGGGAACTCGTGTTCGACAAGAGGTCGACACCCGATGTCCTGAAGAATGACTGGAAATCAGTTCAATATATCAAACACTTTAACCAAACTTTGTTTTCGCAACTTTTAATTGAAATTATGAAATGAATGCAAGATTTAACTTATTTAAATTATAAATATTACTAAAATTTATAGTTTTTATCAAAGAATAAAATAGCATTTTAATATATTAATGCTTTTTAAATGAAATAGTTCGAAATATGAATTAAGAGTTTAAATAGACTAGATTAGACATTGTCGCTGTGACTGTGATTAAAAATATGTATACAACATGTTCTGTTACAAAACTTCTGTATTACATTGTCTTGAAATAGAGTATAAATAAACATTATTATTACCGGAATAAGTTTATTTATACTCTCAAAATTTTAGAAATTTTTGCACATTTTTTTTGCACACAAATTTTTGCCAAATGTTTGCACAGTTTTAACATTAATTAGTTCAAAACAAGTGTAAAAACATATGTTTGTTATTAAATTGTAATAGTGTACATTATACAATACACTGTACAATATGATATAAAGTTTATAAACTTATTTCTGTTATGAAATAATGATAAATGATAAAATGTAAGTTTAGTATCCTAAATGTTAGTTTAGTATAAAATGTAAGTTTGATTAAGCTAATAAATAAAAGTTTAACTATAACTGTATTGAATTAAATGTTAATTACGGTACAAATATTTGAAAAGTTGCGATAACTAATGATAAAACATTGAAAATACTGTAAACAAAAGTTATACTTTTCTATCAGACCGTTTGATTCAAACGAGTCAATCACTCGAAGGAATGGCAGCAAAAAAGTTGGTAATAATAGACACCGATTGTGGTGTCGACGACGCGATGGCCATAATGTTGGCCACGTATTGCCACAAACACAATATGATAGACATAATGGCCATCACTTGTGTATTCGCCAATACATATGTCGATAATGTGTGCAAAAATGTTGGCTATACTCTCAGAGCCAGCGATATGGAGGTAAGTGTTGGTTAAATTAATAATTAAATGATGGTAATTTTAAAGGGTAAATATCATTTCAATAGGCAATCAAGATATACAGGGGTTGTGAAGGACCTATTGTTGGCCAATACAAACCCACTCATCATTCAGGAGCGGATGGTTTGGGCGACTCGACTAAAGACATGCCACCCATTGATGTGCACATAGAGAGTGAACACGCGGCCAATGCGTTGGTACGACTGGCCAGAGAGCACCCGAAACAGATTACGGTCATTGTTTTGGGCGCCTTCACTAATATAGCGCTCGCATATATGTTGGACAACAACTTCTTTGACAATTTGAAGGACATTGTGTTTATGGGCGGAACTCTAGACTTCGCGGGCAATTATCCGTCCCCTTTGACTGAGTTTAATATTGTTAACGACGTCGAGGCCTGTCATATAGTACTGTCTAACGCCAAGTGCCCTATCGTTGGCGTCCCACTGGAATGTTGTCGCAGTCATCCATTAACCTGGGTATTAAATTCACCATGTTTTTTCATAAATGGCATTTTATTGAATATGTTTTATAATAAACCTATTTTTAGGACATTTACGACCAAATAGTGAAATTGGATTCAAAGAAATCAAAGTTTATGAAACAGATTACAGATATGGTGTGCAAAAAAGTTAAGCTTGGTAATAATGACTTAATTATTTATTGACTATTGTTTCATTAAAAAGTTATTAAAATTTTTATTTAGATCCGGAATCTAAAGGTATATTAATGTATGACATTCTGGCAGTAATGGCGCCCATATATGAAGATTATATTGAATCTAAAGTTGAATACAAGACAAGCATTGAATTGAATGGAGGGCTAACTCGAGGAGAACTCGTGTTTGACAAGAGGTCGACACCCGATGTCCTGAAGAATGACTGGATATCAGTTCAATATATTCAACACTTTAACGACACAAAGTTTTCACAACTTATGATTGAGTTTATGAAATGAATGTTTTTATTTAATTTATTAAAATCCTGAATATATTGTAATTTATATTTAATTAATGTAAACATTTAATAAAAAAGTTTTTAATACAGCAATTTAAATGTATTTAAGGGATTTTAATCAGGGTATTATCAATGTAATGTATTATTCTCATTTATAAATTAAAATTACAAATATTTGAGTTTAATTTAAATATTATTGAATTTGTTGCATAAATTGTTTAATCATATAAAAACATAGAAACAAATAGTCTTTTGGATCACTAAAAACAGCGACAATTATCTTAATCGCCGACGAGTTGATTGAGTCGATCGTCCAAACGGTCGGCGCATTCATTCACCCACTCGTGCATAGACTTCAATCGGCGAAGAGTTATGTCCGCACAGAATATTTCCGTAAAAACCGTCGATTGTTCCCGACTGTTGTCACCGCAGATCAGTTCCAACCCCTTCACCATAAACGACAATCTAGTGATAAACCGCCGCAAACACTGGCTATGATATCGCATCTCTTCGCTCAACTCCAGCACCAATTGGCGGTCAGTATCGGCACAGTCTGTGTTCTCGTCGCCACTTTCGGCCCTGTCTTTGGCCGCCAGACAGTCAGTCCAGAGGCCGTCCAACGCCGACATATACTCCGCCAGTTGTTGATTGTCTTTGATGTCGAGGACCTCTTGGATCCGTTCAATGAGCGCCAAATACATCTGAACCTTGTATTGTGTCAACTCGTCTGCGACCACATCTGAGCACATGATAACTCCGGAGATCACAAACTGTTTCCGGTTTGTCTCCGGCGATGACTCGTCCAACACATACATCATAGCTATAGTCAGACCTAATATCTCTTTGATTTGATCCTCGATCTGATTGCTATCCGATGTGTTATTAGTGTCGATAAATGATTGAATCACTTCCGGTGATGACTCCCCTTCAGACATCACTATTTTCTGTACTTTTAATTATCTATAAATTGTTTACAAAAACATTTAAAAATGAAAAAACAATTTAAAATACTTATTGTTAAGGCGTTCACGGATTTAAATAATGCAAATAAAAATGCGTTAATAATTTAAGTCTCGTTTATATTTAAATTAAATTACAGTTAAGTTAACGATAAGTATTGTATTGTTGTCTCGATTTATAAAACGTTGAAACTCAGAATTTGTAACTTTTGTTCAAATTTATCGGATGTGAGAATCGGTTGTGAAAAACAAAAACTTCTGCGAAATAGTTGTCCAACAAATCAGTCCTTTTGTATCGACAAAAACAATGGCCGGCAGTAAGAAAGAGGGCGGCGGAGGAGGCGGTGGTAAGAAAGCGTCGGGAGGTGGAGGTGCGGCCCCACCCGTCAAACCCATGAAACCGGGCGGCGGTGGCGGCGGAGGCGGCGGTAAAATGGTTGTGGCGGCCGTTGTGTTGGGAGGCATCGCTTGGGCCGCCTATAAGATGTCTGGCGGACAGAACAAGTCGGGCCCACCGAAGCCAAAGAGTCCCCCGAAGGCGGCCAAAGCTGAAGGCGGCGGCGGTGGACACAAGTCTCCCGACGCGAAGGCCAAACCCCCGGCGGCTGACAAAAAGGCTGACAAACCGGCGGACAAACCACACGAAGACAAACCCCCGGCGGCGGCCAAACCAGACAAACCTCCCGCTGGAGACAAAGGGGGCGCCAAAAAACCTGAACACAAACACCCGCCCGGAAAGGGAGGCGACAAAGGGGGCGAAAAGGGAGACAAGAAAAAGGGTAGCAAATAGTGATGTTATGATTGATTTCAATTGAACAACGATTAGACAAATGAAGACATCATTAGTTTATTGTTTATTTTGATGTCTTTATTAGTTGTGTTTCATTAGCTTTTTGTCTAAATTTTTGCAAAAAATGTTATCAAAAATAAATGTTTGTTTTATTATATGTTTTGTATTGAAGTTTAAATTTTGAATTAAATCCAATGTCTTATTATTAATGTTTCATTTAATTAATTTTTAAATCTATTTAAGGATAAAAATTAATTAATGCAAAATAATTTATCAAAAATAAATAAATCTATAAATTATAAGTAAAAACAAATTAATTCTTATCGTTATATTTATTAACTATTAATATAAAGTAGTAAGTAATATAAACATATTAGACGATTGATATATGACAGTTTAATCTAGATTGAAATGTTAACTTCATATTACAGAGTAATATAAAAATAGTTTTAAAAATAATTTAGTTGTATAAAAATACTGTAAAGAATAACAGCAAATCGTATACTTTATAAAGTGTCGTAAATTGAATAATGGCATCAAAAAAGTTGATAATTATAGACACCGATTGCGGTGTTGACGACGCGTTGGCCATAATGTTGGCCACGTATTGCCACAAACACAATATGATTGACATAATGGCCATCACCTGTCAATTCGGTAATACATATATCGATAATGTGATCAAAAATGTCGGCTATACTCTCAATGCTACTAATACTGAAGTAAGCGTTAATTATATGAAATATAATTTGAGTTAAATTTATTTATCAATTAATAGGGAATTAAGATATACAGGGGTTGTGAGGGACCAATTGTTGGCAAATGTTTTTTCGATGATTATTATGGCCAGGATGGTTTAGGCGGATCTACTAAAGACATGCCTCCCATTGATGTGCACATAGAGAGTGAACACGCGGTCAATGCGTTGGTACGACTGGCCAGAGAGCACCCGAAGCAAATCACCTTGATCGCTTTGGGACCACTCACTAATATAGCGCTCGCATATATGTTGGACAACAACTTCTTTGACAATTTAAAAGACATTGTGTTTATGGGCGGAACCATTAACTTCGGCGGTAATATCGGTCCTCTCAGAGAATTTAATATAGCGGGTGATGTGGAGGCCTGTCATATAGTGCTGTCCAAAGCCAAGTGTCCCATCATTGGTGTACCACTGGAATGCTGTGATAGCAATCGATTAACCTGGGTCAGATATACTATACGCTAATTTGTTAACTTAATCTAATAATTAATGATAAATTTAGGACATTTACGACAAAATATTAGCATTAGATTCAAAGAAAGCAAAGTTTTTGAAACAGATAACAGATATGGACTATAAGAGAGCGAAGACTCGTAAGTACTAATAGTTATAATTATTTCTGTATATTTATTAATCAATTAATTGTTAATAATTTTGTATAGAATCGGGAATGAAAGGGATATTAGTGTTTGACATTCTGGCAGTTTTGGCCGTTTTATATCCCGATTATATTGAGTCCAAACAGGAATATAAGACAAGCATTGAATTGAATGGTAGTCTAACTCGCGGTCAACTAGTCTTTGACAAGAGGTCGACACCCGATGAACACAATCTCATTGATTGGAAACCAGTTTTATTTATTAAACATTTCAATCACACAAAGTTTTCACGACTATTACTCGACATTTTGCAGTAATCGTAACAACAATTGAGTTTATAATTACAACTTATAATTTTATCATTATTGCTATAAAAGCATTTGCAAATGAAATGAATGCCAGAATAAAATATAATTAATTTTACACTTTTATCTCGACTTAATATTTGTTACAATTATTTTCACTATGATCAAAAATTTGATTTGACTATAATTCAAGAGAAAATGTACTTTTAAAACATATTAGTGCATAATTAGGGAAATTAGTGCACTTGGGCTGCAAGTGATGAACTTAAATGCATATAAAGTCAATTAAGTTATCATTAGATTTAAAGTTTGAATTATTTTAGGGATTAAATTACTGAGAATCAATTGAGTTTAACCTTGCTCAAAGTAAGAATTGAGATGATGAAATAATGGGTGCAATTGTTTATGTCTAAAGTTTTATATATTGAATGATTTGCAATAATTAGATTAGATATGAATAATATTAAAATGTATTGGAAGTATAAATATGTGTTCAATCACTTCAACATCACATCAAAATGTAAAAACATTGATTTATTAATAAATAAAGTAATAAAGTTAAACAAATTGAAATAATGGCATCAAAAAAGTTAATAATTATTGATACCGATTGCGGTGTCGACGACGCGGTGGCCATAATGTTGGCCACGTATTGTCAAAAGCAAAATATGGTAGATATTGTGGCCATCACTTGTCAATTTGGTGGTACATATGTTGATAATGTGTGCAAAAATGTTTCCTATACTCTTAAGGCCTGTGATGTAGAGGTAAGTTATGTGTATATAAATGAAATATTTAATAACTTATATTTGAATCCAATATAATTAACACATTTAATGAATAAATAGGGAATTAAAATATACAGGGGTTGTGATAAACCTATTGTCAGTAAACATATTTTCGATGATTACTATGGAAGCGATGGTTTGGGTGACTCGACTAAAGACATGCCACCCATTGATGTGCGCGTAGAGTGTGAACACGCGGTCAATGCATTGGTACGACTGGCCAGAGAGCACCCGAAGCAAATCACCTTGATCGCTTTGGGACCACTCACTAATATAGCGCTCGCATATATGTTGGACAACAACTTCTTTGACAANTCACCTTGATCGCTTTGGGACCACTCACTAATATAGCGCTCGCATATATGTTGGACAACAACTTCTTTGACAATTTGAAGGACATTGTGTTTATGGGCGGAACCATTGACTTCGGCGGTAATATCGGTCCTCTAAAAGAGTATAATATATTGTGTGATCCCGAGGCCTGTCATATAGTGCTGTCCAACGCAAAGTGTCCCATCATTGGTATACCAGTAGAATGTTGTGATAGTAATCGCTTAACCTGGGTCAGATATGTTTTTCAAACCTAAAATAAAATAATAATTTAATACTTAATTATAAAATTTAGGACATTTACAGAGAAATATTGAAATTAGGTTCAAAGAAAGCAAAGTTTTTAAAACAGATAACAGATATGGACTATAAGAGAGCGAAGGCTCGTAAGTACCAATAGTTATTATTCCTGTATTTATTACTCAATTAATTTTTAATTATTTTGCATAGAATCGGGAATGAAAGGGATATTAGTGTTTGACATTCTGGCAGTTTTGGCCGCTTTATATCCCGATTATATTGAGTCCAAACAGGAATATAAGACAAGCATTGAATTGAATGGTAGTCTAACTCGCGGTCAACTAGTCTTTGACAAGAGGTCGACACCCGATGAACACAATCCCATTGATTGGAAACCAATTTTATTTATTAAACATTTCAATCACACAAAATTTTCGCAACTATTACTCGACATTTTGCAATAAATTAAATTAGTTTAAAACACATTAAAACAGTTACAACTTTTAGTCTTATAGTGTTTGTTAAAAATAATTATTTTCCAAATCAAATAAAACATAGATAGAAATATCGCTAAATTACAATCAATTAATAATAATTAAAAATTTAAAACTTAGTCGTTATCATCGGTTTCATCTGATTTAGTCTTTACATCCGATGAATGCGATGATTGAATGTTAGGCTTATTATTACCGACTTTAGTCCCAAATACTTCATCTAACGTCAATTTGCCGGTTATATAGTCGGCGCCGATAGTCAACAGCCAACGGGAAGTGCCTTTGAATATAAACTTCTCCCTCCCGGAGGCGTCCAACTTATTAGACAACACCCCCTCAACCGTCGAGTTTGCACAGATATCCTTATTCTTGATAACACCGACGTTGCAGCCAAAGAGTTGCTGATTATCATACCATTGTCTACACTATAACACTAATGCAATTACTGACATGATCTATAATTATGGTTAAATTTAGTGTTGATTTACCCCATTATTGGTGACATTTTGCCGAAGAATTAGCGGTCGTTTACAGAATTGATTGCCTCTGAAGAAGTAGATGTCTTTGTCGGGACCGATGAAAGCGCCGGTAATGTTGGCCGGAATGTGTTCACGAGTGTCGGCGTAATGTTGCGGGGAATTACTTTCCCTCACAAATGTGTTGTTTACTTCTTTGTATCGATGGATCTGTTTTGAACAATAATTGTTAACAAGTCTTAAATATACAATAATGTATTATAATTATTACTTATAAAAAAATCTATTGTTTACAAACCAGTTCTCCGTCGAATCTGATGGCCCGGACGCCACCAGAAGTGCCATTTGTGGTACCATTTGTTGATAATATCTTTTTAGATACAATTAGGACACTTCCGGGTCGGGTCAACACTGCTTCCAACAGTTCACTACCAATGTCTTCACCGGCGCTTAAAACCATTAAATTGTTTGTATTTAACGAAATGGTTAGCAATAAAATGTTTACAATTGTCTGAATAGCCATTGAATTCAATGCAAAATTAAAATTCAGGCTTAAATTAATTTACAAATAAAAAATAATACAAATATTTACAAACATATGTGATTTGTTATAACAAATATAAGGTAAATGTAGTATAGTCTTAATTAAATTTTGAATTATAAATAAAAGTTCCAAATTAATTTATAAACACATTTTATTGATAAAAATTATAAGGGTTTAAATACATCCGAAAGAATTTGATCAGGTCCGGTCATGTAATTTGGTGTCCTATTTGCCATCGTTTTGATTGCCATTTTTGTTGTCCTTATAATTTCTGGATTCGCTTTCTTTAGTTCCCGGGCAGTGAAACAGATTCGTCGCGTTTTCCCATTCTTTACACTATTTTTAATCATACAAAATGATGGTTAAATTGGCTGAAAAATTACCACCTCAACAGGGTTAGATAACATATACGGACACAATCACCATCTTTGCATTTCCAGCTTCGTTTGCAGTACTTATCGCCCCGGAATAGATATACCGTATTGTCTGCCATTCTCATGGCGGCGGTGATGTCTTTTGGCCACTTCTCGTCCGTTTCGTCCACGAGTGTTGTGTTTCTCACCTCTAAGAGTGTGCCAGTGCTGGCGTATGTGTGCACCTGTATGTCGGCGCCCAAAAACAATTGTTACAAAAATAGCTTATAATTACTATTATGTAATTATTTATGTGTTTACTTGCGATCCATCGAAGCCGAGAACGAGTGGATTATTGATATCGCCGTTATCTGTGAATGTAAGCAAAAAAGTATAGTTTTTATGTGAAATAAATTAGTTATTAAACTAAATGTTAAGTCATTTAATTGTTTTAATAAAACCATAGCTAACGCATTGTGGCGCCAAACTTCATGGACCCGGTTGGCTGACCCCACCAGGCCTTGTAGCTGATCCACGGCTTAGCGTTCGGATACCAACTCGACCAATAGCCGCCAAAAAAGGCGTAAAAAAATCCGCGTCTCCTCTTACCTACCATTAAATTGGTTAACATTGTAACCATCACTAGACTATTGCTCATAATTACCCTCTTGAATGATGACCACAGCGTCGGGATTGTCCGAGAATCCGTCCCATTCGCTACTAGTATTGCCCGACTGTACCACTCGTGGCGCCCGCGGAAAGTCGGCGATCTTCCAGAACTTCTTACCCCTCCAGACGTATACCGTGTCCTCTCTCTGCAACGACCGGTCGAGGTCTCCGATGTTCAGATCGGAGCACAAGTCGGCCAATGCTTTCGTGTCGTGTCCATTGACTTGCGATGAATTACTGTCCGTCACGAATGTGTGGTTCACCTCTTTGTATGGATGGATCTGTTTTGAGTGATATTTGTTACCAAGTTTTAAATGATTATTATAAAAAATCTATGTTCACCGACCAGTTCTCCGTCAAATCTCACCTCGTTACAACTTTCAGTCTTATGACGTTTGTTAACAATAACCATCTTGCACATTTGCGTCAATTTGCCGGTTATATAATCGGCGCCGATAGTCAACAGCCAACGGGAAGTGCCTTTGAATATATACTTTTGCCTCCCGGAGGGGTCCAACTTGTTTGACGAAACCCCCTCTACCGTCGAGTTCGCACAGATTTCCTTATCCTTCATGCCGTCGCTCTCGCAGCCAAAGAGTTGTTGATTATCATACCATTGGCCACACTTTCAATATTAGCGTGATTATTGATATTATCTATACTTATGGTTACATTTAGTGTTGATTTACCCCATCATTGGTGACATTTTGCCGCAGATTTAGCGGTCGTTTACAGAATTGATTGCCTCTGAAGAAGTAGATGTCTTTGTCGGGACCGGTAAAAGTGCCGGTAATGTTGGCCGGAATGTGTTCACGAGTGTCAGCGTAACGTTGCGGGGAATTACTGTCCGTCACGAATGTGTTGTTCACTTCTCTATATCGATGGATCTGTTTTGAGTGATAATTGTTACAAAATTTTAAATTAGTGTTTTAATAATCTCTATCCGTTTACAGACCAACTCTCCATCGAATCTGATGGCCCGGACGTCACTAGAAGTGCCATTTGTGGTACCATTTGTTGGTATTATCTTTTTGTATATAATGTGGACACTTCCGGGTCGGGTCACCATTGAGTCCAACAGTTCCCCACTTTTGTCTTCACCGGCGCTCAAAACCAACAAATTGTTTGCATTTAACGAAATGCTTATCAATAAAATGTTTACAATTCTCTGAATAGCCATTGAATTCATTACTAAATTAAAATTGAAAATATAGATAAAATGATTGATTGAATTGATTGTTATTTAGACACGAAATACATTCAACAAAAACTAATTTCCAACGAAGACTTGTTTACGACATTTTAAATGATAAATTAAATTAATAAACGTATTTTCAAAACATATGTGATTTGTTATGAGAATTATATAATTATAAGACAAACATTATTTTACCGGTAATTAAAAAGTTATAAAATAGTTTTCAATTATAAAACAAAAGTTTAAAATTAAAAGTTTTATTGCAATGAAAAAACATTTAAAACCAAATTATTTAAACATTTAATTACAGCCAAGAAGACAGTGTATTATTACAAATATGATTTAATAATTAATTAATTAATAATTATAATTAATAATTAATTTGTAATTATATTTAAAAAGTTGCGCTTAAAATGTTTTGGCCGTAAACTTCGTGACACCGACTGTACCTAAATGTGTACGTCATATGTGTATCGCTATTACATTCACGTAATCACAGAATACAGAGAGGGGTTGGACTGCAATAAGTTTGTAACAGTATTTGTGTGCAATTCAGTCATTCATTCGGCAATTCGTGTGGCAATCAATCCATTCAT